AATATTTCTGTCAACAACCAGCTCACGATTTGATCGCTTCTGGGAAACATTTATCAATCAAAGCGCACATGCAAAACGCATTTGGTGGGAAATAGTTCTGCCAACAACCAGCTCACGATTTGATCGTTTCTGGGAGACATTTATCAACCTAAGCGCACAAGCAAAACGCATTTGGTGGGAAATATTTCTGTCAACAACCAGCTCACGATTTGATCGCTTCTGGGAGACATTTATCAACCAAAGCGCACATGCAAAACGCATTTGGTGGGAAATAGTTCTGTCAACAACCAGCTCACGATTTGATCGCTTCTGGGAGACATTTATCAACCAAAGCGCACAAGCAAAACGCATTTGGTGGGAAATATTTCTGTCAACATCCAGCTAACGAATTGATCGCCTCTGGCTAACTAATTACTGTGGCACTAACTACTATTACAAAATAAATATAATCAATTTTCAGTTAAATATAAAGATAAGCAAAAGATTAAGTTCTTATTTTTCAGAGATTATACTTTTGACATTATTTTCTTATACATATTGTATATATTGGATGATTGCATAAGTTCGTGCCCGATTTTCATAGATGGCATTAAGTTACTGCATGGCGGAGTTCTATTGTTTTCGTGTGGTAATTGTTGCTTCGATTAATTGTTGCTTTTGATTTCGGAAAGGCGTGAGTGTTGGGATTGCACAAAAAAATATTCAAACCGTTTATTTGGACCGCGCTCCTGCTCTCCGTATAGTATGATATTTTTTATGCGTGCAATGGCAGTTTTAAGAAAGCAAAAAACATTCCATGAATTTGAAGAAATTGCGTATAATATTTTAATTCTTGCGATAAGTCCTTATCGAGATTCTAACGGTTTGATGATGAGAGCACGAAGTTTAACATTGCTTATACAAGGCGATACAGATGCATTATCAATAAATGATAAAAATCTGCCAATATTTGCCGAATATAAAAGCGATCAAGATGTATTAAACGATGCGAATATAGTTGAAACAAATATACATCGTTGGGTTGATTCTATGTATAACGATTGTGTCTCTCAAACAAGTAGATTGAAAGAAACCTACGATGTTAATGGATTTTATTGCATAGATTTTGCGAAAAAGTTTAAAGTCTTGTTAAAGTACTTTCCGTTGTTTAGTGAAATTATGCGTGCAATATTTGGTTATGGCTATATAAATGCGACGTCTGCGGCGGTGGAATCAGAATTTAATGATTTAAAAAACCGTACGCTAAAAGATGTATCTCTTCCTATGAGAGCCGATAAGTTCGTTAGTAAACATATTTCTTGTTTATCAGGTAAAATAAAGTTGCCAATGGCGGAAAAATTAGAAAATGATTCTATAAACGTCGATAAAATTAATAAAAATAATAACTTGCATCCACTATATTCTGATATTTCTGATTATGATAATGGTTCTCTAGATAATGAATCAACAGAATTAACAGAACTGCAAGCCGAACAAAATTGGCGCAACAAAAACAAAGAGACATACGGTTTTGACAGTTTATGTCAAACACATAATCTACAAGCCTGGTGAACAACAAAGTATACAATGATGCATTATTAGAAACATCCTCAAAATTAATATCATGCTCTAAAGTGCTCGTAAAAGAGGGGTTAGGTGCACATTTCTTTATGAACGCGCTAAAATATTATGTAATTTCAATCAATTAAAGCCGGATATTAAACAAAATTCAATAATAAAAGTAAGCGCTATTTCTAATACAGCTAATCTCACAACTTGGTTGCTCGAGGATGTTCCAAGTTTTACTGAAATGAATATGTGTGACATGTGCAATCATGTAAAAATAAGTAGAAATGTTCTATACATTAATATCAATTACACAATAATACGAAAAAGGGATACGATTTCTACAGGAAACATTAAACGAATGATTTTTATTCGTCTTGCTTAACACAATTCAGCACAAGTTGAGGAATTGAATTATCTGTCACGGTTTGAAAGTTATAAGACTACGAAGTTTTGCTGATCTGAAAGACTGACATTTTAATTTTGGCTGTATTGCGAATTCTAATAGTCTGACGTAATTTTGCGATTAGAAAGAGTTGTTGTGCTTGAGTAGCACAATCCGGCACATGTGGAGAAAATTCGAAAAAATCAAATTTTTTTTACCCCCATCTCTTTCCAATAATCTTTGGCTAACCCTCGAAGGTAGTGAGATTTTTTTTGCATAGTTTTTATTCGTCTTGCTTAGCACAATTCAGCACAAGTTGAGGAAATGGATTATCTGTTATGGTTTGTAAGTTATAAGGGTACGAAGTTTTGCATCTGACATTTCAATTTTTTTTTCTGGAACGGAAAGAAATATGGGTATAAGTTTTGCGGCACAATGTACAGTAGTTAAAGCTGTATCCAGCACAATTTTTATTTTGTTGATAAAACAAAATGGCAGTGCTGGCAAAAAAATGATTTTTGTGATCTAACGCTTTGTTTTTTGAGATATATGATTAATTTTTGTGGCACAGTGTAGCACAAGCCTGGCACAACACAGCACAATTTTTTTTTACAGAATGGCGATGCTAATTTTACGCACATGGTTTATTGACAAAATTGACTTATTTTGATGTCTTTTATAACTACCTAAAGTTTATCGATCTAATTTTGGGACACCATAATAGAGTGAGGTTATATAAAACATTATTAAATAATACGCAAATATTAATATTTATCAAATATAATAGAAAAGAGCATTTAGAGCCAAGCGCGGTACATGGTGCGCAAACTATTTATTATTAGTGATAAGTTAATACTAATATAAATTTCGAACGTTTCGACCCTTTATTTGGGTCATCTTCAGCGCAAATTACACTAACAAACATAAATTTAACGTCTCATGGTTATAAAATTCGTCATACAAAGTTATACATGAGTTAAAATTAAAAATTAAAATTAAAATTAAAAAAAGAGAACCGGAGGTCTCTCACATCTTCATGAACGTTGGTAATTCTTTCATGTCGTTGTGAAGGTAACTAACTTAGCGGTTGTTATGCCGAAAATCAGAGTCCGATTTATAAAATTCATATCTATACGTAATGTACCTGTAAATCGAATAAGAAAGAAAGAAACAGATGTGAGAGAATCGCGCATATATATGTATATATATATATAGCAATGTAAATTAAGATAGTTTCTATTAAAAGTAATTAAGCAATACGAATATCGGAGCAAGATTTAAAGGTTTCTTGAGGTCCGCAACCTTGTTTGTGTGTACCATCTTCACACTTGCCCCAATTATTCCCAGCAACATATTCCCATCTAAAAATTAAATAAATATATAATAAGGATCTCGTATATGTACAAAGATTGTAATAAAAGTTGTATTAAAATAATTTGTTTTAACTACATATACATGCGTATTATATATACACACTCTTAGAAAAATATTTAAAAACCACTTAAAATCAATTGCAAAAATGACGAAAGTTAAATTTATGACTTCACAAATAAAATTGTAATAAGAGTTGTATTAAAATAATTTGTTTTAAATACACATACATGTGTATTATATATACACACTCTTAAAAAAATATTAGAGAACCACTTTAAATCAGTTGCAAAAATGACAAAAGTCCAATTTATGTGACTTCACAAATAAGATAGTTGATCAAAAAGGTATCTTAAATCCAAAAGATAACTTAGTATGATAAGCTCTAAATATAAATTAATATTAACAAGTAAATGATGAGACGGGCAACTGAGAGCTGATGCGCTGGGTGAGGGGCGCCAAAAATATACAGGGTGTCCTAGACCATCCGTACACCCCTTTTCTTTCAAAAACTAAGCATTTTAGAGAAAAACGTTTTGAACAAAAATTGTATGGTATTATTATTTATATCAAAGTATGTCAGATTAAAATATAAAATAACTCAAAAAGTACTTAATGAAAAAATACTTTATTATAGTGTTTTGGAAAGCTTTCGACATAAGCTACAAGAATATGCAACAAAAAATGGGAGGTTCCATTTAAGAAATTAAAGGTGTCCTTGACTTGACCTTAACGATGCCATCCAAGGTCAAACCAATGACACCATCTTATGTTCCCCTCAAAACCATACAATTTTTGTTCAAAACGTTTTTCTCTAAAATGCTTAGTTTTTGAAAGAAAAGGGGTGTACGGGTGGTCTAGGACACCCTGTATAATTCCGTGTATGTGAATTATGTTTATTAAACGTTTCGGTAAATTGGACCATCTTCAGTAACTGTTAAGAAGTACGTACGTCCACTTCTATATAAATTTCTTTTATTTTGAGATCTTATTATCTATTATTTTGTTATACAGTTACTGAAAATGGTCCAATTTTCGGACCGAAACGTTTAATAAACATAATTCACATATACGGAATTATATATTTTTGGCGCCCCTCACCCAGCGCATCGGCTCTCAGTTGCCCGTCTCATCATTTACTTGTTAATATTAAAACCGAAAGTTTCATTTTTCAAATCTCATTATGATTTTTCCTCGATAATGCTTCTGTTCTACAAGACATTACTTCCAGATGAATCGTGCACAATTGGCAAAAAACTTTAACTTTAAAATCATGTACATTTGAAAAAATTTTTGTTTTAATTTTGAAATATTCTATAAACTTAATATTTACATTTTGAAATGCTTTAGTTTAGATATTGGATTAAAATTTCTATTCGTCATGTTATTGAGATTTGAAATGATCAGAATTTTCAATTCTTTTCAGGAAAAATTTATGATGTGCTGCCAGCTTTATTAATAATAGCTCTTTATAACAAAATTGACTTATCAATTGCCTTGCAGTGATAACACAATTATTTGACAATAAGACTAATTCAGTTAATATTCAATGATTCCGTTAATATTTGATCAATCTATGTTCAAAATTGAATCATTAAATTTTCGTTTCTAAATTTCGCCGTTATATTAAAACGATTGCCTCAGAAAATAAAACACGAGCGAGAACAAACAGCGTCGCGGTCACCCGCTCGGTGCGTGATCGCATTCTTCTTAGAATGAAAAACTGTGACAAACAACTGGTTCGAGAAGGTTCGAAATCAGAAAAACTTGTTATTCAGATCGGCAGAGCGCGAGTTTCCGCGGTCGGTCGATTTAGTCTGCCTACGACAACGATTCGAGCTGGTCGATAGCAATCGATCATAGTTTCGAATATCATCATTTCTCGTATGATATTCTTTCGTGTCTTATTCTCGCTCGTGTCGCGTACGCAGTAGGCTTACTCGTCTCAAAATCGGTCCGAATTGTCTCGCATACGATCGCATTCATATTCTCGCGGCGGTCAATTCGGTCATATCTCAAACTTTATTATTCATTCAGTTAGTGCTAAGACATCGTGAAAGTTAAGTGTTAAGAGTGTGGAGTCCGAGAGTCGACGCGCGTTAACCGTTCCGCGAATGTCCTCTGCCTCGCGCCAAGCAACATCCGGCGTCCGCGTGCAAGATATCCGTTCTCGCGAGAGCCTCTAGCAAGAAGCTCTTAA